TGCTGCTGCTGCTGCTGCTGTTACTACTCCCGCCGTGGCTGTTGCTGCTGCTGTTGCTGCTGCTGTTGCTGCTGCTGTTGCTGCTGCGTGTGCCTGCAGTGTTAATAATATTATCTCTGCCTTTGCTTTTATATATTTCAGTGTGATGTCAGTGGAGGTAGCTGCTGGGGGCCCCGAGCGCAGCAGCAACGGGGGGCCCCTTTGCTGCTGCTGCTGCTGCTGCTGTTGCTGCTGTTTCGCTCAGGGTTCAGAGTTGCTGTCAGTGCTGCAGCAGCACAAAATATATTTTAATTATATTTACTTTTCTCATTTATTCTAAGAAATAAAACGGCGCGAGTGCAGCAGCAGGAGCAGCAGCAGACCTCCCGCAAGCATCGAGCAGGGAGCAGCAGCAGCAGCCGCAGCAGCAGCTGCTGCAGCTGCTGCTCCCGCTCCTGCTGCTGCTCCTGTTGCTGCGGGTATGCTTTAACGGTTTCTGCTACTGGTGTTGTTGCTGCTGCTCTGTTGCTGCTACTGTTGCTACAAGTGCTGCTGCTGCTGTTGCTGTTGCTGCGTTCACTGCTCTGCTGCTGCTGTTCTACTTGTTGGTGCTGCTCTGCTATTCGTGCTGCTCGTGCTGCTCTGCTGCTGCGGCAGGCGGCACTGCAGCAAATACACCGATGCCGCTGCTGTAGCTGGTGATGTAGCTGCTGGTGTAGCTGTTGCTGTAGTAGCTGCTGCTGGAGCTGCTGCACCTGCTGCTGTAGCTGCGCCTGCTACTGCGTCTGCTGCTGTAGCTGTTTCTGTAGTTGATGCTGTAGCTGCAGCAGCTGCTGTAGCTGCTCCTGCTACTGCTGCTGTAGCTGCAGCTGCTGCAGCTGCTGCTTAAAGAGGACAGTCGTAGGGCGTATATTTTGAATATCTCCTTCGGGTGTCTCTGCAGCTGTCTGTCTCCTCTGAATTGTCTCCGAATCTGTCTCTGTCTGCTGCCTCAGTGTTGTTAAAGATATGCTTAATTTAAAAGGAGACAGACAAATAAGGTTATTATATTAAAGACAGATAAACAGAAGGAGACAGCTAAAGAGACAGTTGCTAAGGAAGAACGAGAGAGGCTTCATATATATGCTTAAAGCGAAGGCCGCTCTTTGCTGTCTCCTTTTGTCTCTTTCTTTATCTTTGCTGCTTGTCTGTCTCCTTGCAGCAGCAGCAGCAGCAGCGAGGAGCGATTATTTGTTTGTGCGTTTGCTAGAGGAAGCCTCTGTCTCCTTTTGTCTCCATCTGTCTCTGCTGTTTGTCTCTCTTTGTCTTTTTATCTCGTTGTCTCTGTTCGTCTGTCTGTCTGTCTCTGCTGTATGTGTCTCTGTCTTTATCTGTCTTTGTTTCTGTCTCCTTCTTTGCTCTTCTCTCTTTCTTAGTTGTCTTTACCTGTCTCTTTCTTTATCTGTCTCTGTTTGTATGTCTTTATCTGTCTTTGTTTCTGTCTCTGTCTTTGTCTTTATCTGTCTCTGCGTTTATCTGTCTCTGCTTTTATATCTCTTTATCTGTCTTTGTTTTTGTATGTCTTAAATCTTTCTTTATCTGTCTTTGTTTTTATTTGTTTTTGTTTGTATTTCTGTCTACCCTTCTCTAAACTCTTAAAAGAAAGAAGAATAGAGACACCAGAAGGAGACAGTGCAGCAGAAGACAGCAAAAAAAGGCTTCATTAATAATTGTCTCTCTCGCCTTTTTGTCTCTGCTTGTGTCTCTCTTGCTGTCTCCTTTTATCTCTCTTTCTTCATCTCTCTTTTTAATCTGTCTCCTCCTGCAAGCAGCTTCTTTCTCTTGCATCTTCTTTAATAAAGGTGTCTCCTTTGAAGGAGATGTCTCCTTTTTGTCTCCTCTTCTCTATCCTAAATAAGATGTCTCCTTTTGTCTCTTTTAAAGAAAGTGTCTCCTTTTGTCTTCTTTAAAGAAAAGGTTTCTTTAAAGAAGGTGTCTCCTCTTTGTCTCCTTCTGTCTCTTTTAAAGAAAGTGTCTCCTGTTTGTCTCCTTTTGTCTCTTAAAGAAAGTGTCTCCTCTTTGTCTCCTTTTGTCTCTTTTAACAAAAGTGCCTCCTTTAGTCTTTTAAAGAAAGCGAATGAAAGCATCTCCTTTATTCATTTAAAGAAAGTGTCTCCTTTTGCCTCTTCTTTGTCTCCTTTTGTCTACTTTTGTCTCTTTATTTGTCTCCTTTTGTTTCTTTTTTTATCTCCTTTTGTCTCCTCTGCGTAGATACACCCGACGGCGAAGACAAACACAAAGTGCTTCATATGCAGATATTGATTAAAAAGACATTCAAGAATCTAGCTATCTAGCTAGCTATCTAGATATCTAGTTGGCTAGCTAGCTAGCTAGCTAGCTAGCTAGCAGAATCAGGGGGGCATTAAGGAGAGCAGCAACAACAGCAGCAGAAACAGCAAACCAAATCAGTGCAACAACAGCAGAAACAGCAGCAGCACCAACAATAAAAGCCCCAATAGCAGCAGCAGCAACAGGAACTGCAGCAGAAACAATGCTGGCTTTCCTTCTTAACCTGCCCGTAACAGCAGCAGCAGCAGCAGCAGCAGCAGCAGCAGCAGACACCGCTGCTCGGGGCGTTTGTTTCTGCTCTATCCGACCTCTGCAGCAGTTAAATGTATAAATAACAGCATTATAATAATATTAGAAGATATTAAAATAATTTAAATATTAAAATTTATATTGTCTGCTGTTTGTTTTCTGTTGCTGTACACTGCAGTGGTATATCCGAGCAGTCGGCGCAGACCTCATCCTTTCTTGCAGACAAACTATTGAAATAATTATTATTTATTTATTTATTATAAATTTAAAATTAAAGTTAATTTAAAATCAATTATAACAAACAATATCTTGCTGCAGCAGCAGCTTCCGGGTGTCTGTACAGCAGCAGCATAGCGGCTGCACAGCGAGCGGTCTGTGTGTTGCTGCTGCTGTTGCTGAAGAGGGTTTTATTTTGCATTATTTTCTATAATTTTTCAATTAAATAGAAATAATTATTTAGATAAAAGGTTTTTTAATTCTTTTTATTTGTTTTTTCTACTTTTCTGACCCCCATTAACAGCCAACGGTCCCAGACCGCCTGCGGTGTATAGGCAGCTGGAGCTTCTCCCTTTGAAATTATCCCCCCTTTGTTATTCTCTTTGCTAGACAAAATGCAATTAAATTTTTTGTTTTTTTCTCTGTTTTTCTCTTGTCTATGCTTCAATGCCTTCGTCCGTGGGGCCCCACACACCCGCCCGCCAAAGGGTGGAGGCGCAGCAGCAGCAGCAGCAGCAGCAGCAGCAGAGGCAGGATTCTCTCCGGAGTTGCTGTCTCAGCTGCTGCAGTCTCTAACAGGAGATAACAGTGGTGAAGGCTCTGCTAGCATGCGAGCAATGCTGAAGGGTCTTGCTGCTGAGCTGGGGTCCTCTGGGGGCCCTTCCTCTTTAAAAGACAGCCCTTTAGGGGGTTTATTTCCTGAGGGCTTACCGTCTCTGCAGGAGATGCTGGGGGCCTTTAAGGAGGCCCCTTTGGGTGCTGCAGCCGCTGCAGGTGGCTCTAAGGGGACCCCTAAGGGGGCCCCTAAGGGGGGGTCACGTAAGAAGGGGGCCCCAAAGGAGGGGGCCCCTGGGGGCCCCTCTCTTCTGGAGGGTTTAGAGGGCCTAATGCGTCTCCCTGGTTTGCAGTCAGCAGCGGAGAAGATAATAAAAGACAGCGGGGTAGACGGTGGTTTGTTAGAGTCGTTGCGCTTGCTGCAGCAACTGCAGCAGCAGCAGCACCAGCAAGGAGGAGAGGTAGATATAGGAGAGTTGCTGTCTGTTTTTAAAACGCTATCTAAGACTTTAGAATCGAAGGGCATGCATGCAGATGAATTAATGCAGGGGTTTATAGGAGACCCTAAGCTGTCTCCGCCTCCTTTAAAGATACCCGAGGCTTTAGAGCGTCTATACAAACGCAACAAAGCTGCTCCTGCAGCAGCAGCAGCAGCAGCAGGAGCAGCAGGAGCAGCAGGAGCAGCAGGGGAGACACAAGAAGGGGGGCCCCCTCCTGTGTCTTTATCTCAAGTGCGAGGGTTTATAGAAGCTTCTCCTGACGCTCTCAAGGAGGTCTCTGGGGGCCCTACTTGTTCTATTTTAGTTTTGTTAGGGGGCCTCGCGAAGGCCCCTCTGCATGCAGGGATAATAATGGGGCTGGCTGAACAATATGCAGCAAGAAAGGAGACACTTCGGTGGCATGTTGTTGCAGGGTCGCATCATGCTGCCCTCTCTGCTGCTGCTAGTCTTGGGTTTGCCCCCGGTATAAATAAATAAATAAATTAATAAATAAATAAATTAATTAATTGATTAATTAAATTAAATAATTAATTTATTTATTAATTATAATTTGTTTACATGCAATAAACTTATGAGACAATTATTCACAAGTAATAATTGTAGTTTTACGCTGTGCACACATTACAATAATACTTTTATCATCAGTAAATATATATATTTATATATTTATATATTTATATTTATGTCTATATACTTATATATTTATTTATTTATTTTTGCTCATGTATGCATTTATTTATTTATTTACATCTATCCTCTTACTAATGCATCTATGCCTTTATTTGTTTGCTTGCATATAAATATATATACATGTTTATATATGTTTATATATTTATATTTATCTATATCTATTCATTATGTATATATATATATTATTTATTTATTTGTTTCTATATATATTATATATCATATATATTTATTTGTGTGCATATATATATATATATAAATATATATATCTATATATGTATCTATATATGTTTTTTAATTCTTTTTTGCTCGCACCCATATATATATATATTTGTTTGCTTATTTGTTTATATATATATATATATATATTTATTTATATATATATATAATCGATGACTTAAAGATAAATATATATTTGCATTTTGTTTGTTCTTAGGACAAGGAGGAGAGTTAGACTTGGCCAGATTTCTGTGGGATGTTTGGGGGGGCGTTGAGCTAAGCAATTTTTTTAAGTGTGATAAAGGGATTAAGAGTTTATTAAACATATCTACAATTGTCTCCTGGCTTGCTGCAGCAGAAGAGACAGTAAAGAGGCGTGGGGTGTCTCCTCTGGGATCCGATCCCAGCGTATTAGGCCTCGCACATAAGTGCGGTACAAATCCTGCTGAAGAGACAGTAAATAAACTTCTAAAAGCAATCCCTAAACCCATACCCCCTGCTGCTGCTGATGCTGCTGATGCTGCTGCTGCTAGAGGGCGTGCAGCAGTTATAGCAGCAGCAAAGGTAGGCGGGGGAGACACAGCATTTGTGTTTAGAGACATCGGCCGAGGAGACACTTGTTTGCTGCTGGGCCCTCCTCCTTTATCTTCATACACCCACTGCAAGAGAGACAAAGAAGAAGAAGAAGAAGAGAGACAGTTTGTTTCTTCTAAGGGGCCCCTAAGCGAGCGAGATTTGATTATAAGGGCCCTCTTAGCTACAAGTGCAACCCCAGGGATGTCTCTTCCTGTGCAGGTGTGGGGCCCCCAAGGGGGCCCGAAGCTGCAGCAGCAAGGGGCCTTTATGGACGGGCGTTTTGCTGCTATTCGCGGTGTCTCTGCTGCTGTTGAAGCCTGCAAGCCTCTGCTGCAGCAGCAAGGAGTTGATGAAGCAGCAGCCCTTAAAGGGAAGGGGATTATCTTAGATTTTGTGGGTACAGCACCTGTTGATGATACAGAGTTAGAGCAGCAGCTGCATGCAGTTGCTGCACATTTGGGGCTGCTAGGGGGCCCCCCATTCTTAAAGAGACAGCAGCAATCTTCTTCTTCTTCTTCTTCAGTGCCTGCATCTGAGTCTGTCTTAACTAATAGACAGATAATATCTTATATAAAGAGGGCCTACCCTATGGTTACTGTGCGTCACACACTCTTCCCTGAGGCCCCTCTAACTCTTTTAAATGATTATGCTGACTATCGCTCAACTGCTGCTCTGCTGCACATAGGCAGACGGATTGGCTGGGCTGCGGAGACAGCTCAAAATATTTAATCCCCGACAAACGACGCGCTCAAACACAGCACCCCACACCCAACTAACTCAACTGCATCACTCCTCTTAGGGGCCCCTAATAGGGGCCCTAGGGGCCCCTGAAGGAGGCTTAAAGGGCCCCTAGAGGATGCTTTAGGGGCCCCTGAAGGAGGTCAAAGGGGCCCCTAGAGGATGCGTTAGGGGCCCCTAAAAGGGGCCTTAAGGGCTTCTAAAGGGGTCCCTAAAGGGGGGCCCCTAAAAGGGGGCATACGGATCCTTAACAAGGGGCCTTAGGGCCCCCTAGAAGGGGCCTTAGGGGCCCCTAAAGGGGGCCTTAGGGGCCCCTAAAGGGACCTTTGCGGGACTTTGGGACCCCTACAGGGAGACTTAGGGGCCCCTAGAGGGAAACTTAGGGGCCCCTAGGGGGAGACTTAGGGGCCCCTAGAGGGGGCTTTAGGGGCCACTCAAGGGGGCCTTAGGGGCCCCTAAGAGGGGCGTAAAGGAGAGCTGAGGTGGGGGGCTTTATTGAGCCCCTCGCAAGGGGCCTTATAAAGGCCCCTGAAGAGGGGCCCCTGAAGCGGGGCCCCAGTCTGGGTCCCTATAAAGGCCCCTAGGGGGCCCTAACTTTTAGGGCCCCTAAAGAGGGGCCTTAGAGGCCCCTAAAGAGGGCCTTAGGGGCCCCTAAAGAGGGCCTTAGGGGCCCTTAAGGAGGGCCCCTAAGGCCCCCTTAAATAGAGGGGCCCCAGCGGCCCCTCTTTTTGGGGGCCCCTGGGGCCCCCTGGATTTTTGTGTAGCTGCGTGAAGTTGTGAAAGGCTCTGTTTAGAGCGACGTATTCGTCAGTTTGTAATAACGCTAAGGCTGTATAAACCCTAAGGGGGCCCCTTAGGAGCAGACAGCGCAGTTATATATATATATATATATAT